TATATATATATATATATATATATATATATATATAAAATGAGGGATTCGTTTACTTTATGCATTAAAAACTTTAAATTTAACATTTAGATTGTTAAAATTTGATATAAAACATGAGTTATTGAACGGAATAAGTCTAAGTAGACCTATTTATAGAATAAACGGATCCCTCTTCGATATATATATTATTAGACATTTCGTTCCTCAGTGAAGTTGAATGGTTGAAAGTATCAGATTTTGTGAGCTCTCTCTAAGCCCACCGAGCTATTACTATCTTCATTAAATAGAGACTATAACATCAACACGTGTAACAACCGAATCCTAAGGGAGTTGAGTTAGTGGATTGCTTTTCTAACTGACTCTATGAGTTAGTATTTTTTATTTTTTGAGGAACTATATTAGGTAGTTGATAACTTGTGCACTAGTTCAATAACTAACTGATAGTTTTGTGAGCTCCCTATACATACAAGGTGCTGTGTATTAGTTCAATCAACTTGGTCATTCGGATCAGGATCCTATGTAGATTGGAATTTCAACTGAAGATGATCTCAACCATTAAACACACACACATATAGGAAAATATAACTTTTAAATACTCAAAATATAGCCATATTATTGAACTGCAGGTCATGCAGTTACATTTTGAACTGCATAGGATTTTGATCCTAATCATTCAGTCAATTCAATGCAATTCTATTTCTAATATATTTCTCTTTCTTTATTTTGAATTCTATAATATGTGGCCACTTCAATCAAGTTGGTGTTATTATATCCATTATCTTGGAGTGGCTCTTCTTTGGCAACTCATGCATCATTGTTTTTCCTTGTTCCTCCATGAATGTCCTTCAAAGAGTAGTGTGTTTAACAAATTATTTGAAGAGCATATAATTTTTTTTTCCTAATAAGTTAATTTGATTAAAATAAGCTTGTTTAATACTTAAACTTATTTTAAGAGTGTATAATTTGTTTTCATAAGTTAATTAAAATAGTTTATTGCTTATTTTTGTAAGTTAATTAAAGTAGTTTATAAATTTTGAGTTAATTTTTTTCTTTTTTAGTTTTATATTCTTCAATTTACTTGAAATTATTATTTTTATCTCTTTTATTTTAGAAACTATTTTGCCTACATTGTCATTCTCTCACTTTCATTATAAAAATCATTTTTTGTCATTTTACATTTATCAACTAGCTTATTAACTAATTTTACTTAACATTTTCAATTTAATCAATTAGTTTATAAACTTTTAGTTTTTTTAATTTCTAATTTATAACTTGTAAGTTTTCGGTCAACTTATAAGTGAGCTCAAACATACTTCTAATGACTTGAAGGAAAAAGCTAAAAATAAATGTTATAAACAAATCATAAAATTATTAGAGTTAATAACTAATATATTGTCAGTGTAAAGTTTTTTTACACCGGTAACCAATTATATCTTTTAATTGTGTCATGTCACTGTTAAAAGTAAATGTGTTTACAGTGATATGACATAATTAAAAGATATAATTGGTTCTCAGTGTAAATTTTTTTTACACTGGCAGTGTATGTGATTAACTCAAATTATTAAATAGTTTTAACTTTTTCTCTCAAGGTATTATTATTAACTTTAATTTTAAAGTAGTTTTTTATATGATAAAATATAAAAATGTTAAGTCAAACATTGTAAATTTATTGAATTAACCGGTTATGACACATGTGGTGACAACATTATGAATTATTTAACACCGAAATGCAATGACAACATTGTGCATAAGATAATAGTTATTGTTGTACCATATGTCATGGATTTATGTTTCTCGTCCTCGCAAAACTTGAAGAAGACTTATATTTGATTGTGGCGAGGGACTATGGATGACATCGAAGCAGAGCAGATACAAGTTTCAATATCATTCGTGTCTCTATTCTTGTATCTTATGTCCATACTTATCTCCATACTCGAAGAGTATGAAATTTGTGTACTATTTTCGTCTTTATTAGGTATTGGATATATACACACCATTCAGAAATTAATTAAATATTTTTTTGTAATTTTTTTTAACATAGAGTAGTAATTACAAAATTACATTAATTAAGTTTTATTTGAAATAAATTTAAAATGGAGTAAGAATTACATAAATATCAAGTAAATTCTAAAAAAAGTTAAATTAAGTTTCTAGAAATTCAAAGTGGGTACTGGTACGGTGCGAGTATGTATATACTCATCTTTATCCTCATACCTTATTCAATAAATTGGGTATTACTCGTATACGTATCTATATCTGGTTAAATCGAGTATTCTCTATTAAAGTCAAACCAAAATTGGATATTACTCAGATACAAATTTACTTGTCATCCCTACAAGAGATGAAGAAAATAGTGAATATGAAACAAAATGTGATATTGAATCCTTGCAATGTGGGTCTTAAAATTGGTTCATTGTTCTAGTTAGGAAAATCTCATGTTTAAGAGTTTTTTGAAGTCTCAACGGTGCACATAGTAATTGTAAGTAGTGTAAAGTAAAGATACAAAAGATAATTATGAAGGTGCAAAACCATAACTTTTGCTAACAAGGACATGAAAGTTATTCCAAGTGTATGACAAAGACATTTAGTGGACTTAGTGGTCATTTGGAACACAACAAATTTTTTTTTTATATCTGTAAATCATGATTTTTGAGAATCATAAATCTTGAAAATTATTATTCCTAAAAATCATAAAAATATATTTGGTTAGTCATAAATATTTATAGAAATGTTTTTAAATGTTACTTGAGAATCAAAGATTTTTACTTCATTAAATATATAAATAAAAGTAACGTAACATTTTTACCGTATTAATTTTTTGTTTTATCTCAGGAAAGTTAGTTTGCCACCTTCTCCATGAGAATAATTTCGTGAAAAACCTATCTAAAAATCATTCTTGAAAAATAATATTTTCTAAGAATATTTTTTAAATAACAGATCAAACATGGGAAACTAATATTTTTGATGTCAGATTTCTAAAAAAGTAAAAGCTTTCCGTGTATTAAACACCCCCTTAATTAAGGTGTCAACTAGGACACTCTTAAAGATAACAAATATGAATTAACATTTAAATTGATAAGAAGGATTTTAGTAAGAATTTAAGAACTAACACTTTAGTGACTAGTAGGTGCCAAACTCAAAGACTAAATTAAATGGTTTACAAGTTTTTATATTTAGTTTTAAAATCTTCCAAATTGTCCCTTGTGACACCCTTATACTCGGTATTCACAATAAAAGCAATTAAATTAAAAACATTATAAAATACTTAACTTTACCTCTATAGTAAAATGGTTCACAAAACTTAATTTTAAAAAACTCTTAACCAAAACATAATTAAAACTAAAACATAAGTTCATAACGAGGCACAAATCGTCTGTTTTACAAAATTCCATCACAAAATGACATAAAGTAAAATTAGTTTCATTTTATAACTAAAGAATGCATAAATCTCTCTAGTCCCAATGTTACATTATCATTGCAAGATCTCAAATAACCATTGAAGCGTTAAGCTTCGCCTCCATTAAACTTCTTTTCTTGTACTTGGTCTAATCCTACAAGTGACAATCAACCCAAAAACAAACAATAATAAACACATGGAGTGAAAATATATCTCATTCATGTATAACACTTATAAGGTATAGGAATAGTACTAAAGACAAACATCATAATCATGCTATTATATATACAATTTTTTTCCTTTCCATCATTCATGACCATACTCAATTCAATACATATATCACTCCACATTCATTCATTCAATAATAACCATTCATCTTATTTAAAATATCAACCTTTTATTCTCTTCCTTTTAATTCTAACGTTAATCACTTCTCACAAACTTCTCCTTTACTAGATTATTCTTAAAAACATAATTATTCTAAAAATTATGGTGGTGCCCACGTTCGACGTGAAGAGCTAAGGACCCATTTGCCTAATTTGTGCCTGGCATAGGTACTCCCATGTCCAACACTAAGAAGTCAAAGACCCCTCTAGAACCAAACTACCCGACATGACCCAGGTCACGCTTGACGTCAATCCTTTTAATAAAATGATGTCAATGTAGCGCTAGGCAAGAAATCACTCGCCTAGTGCAAAGAAGTTAGAGACCTCTCTAGCATTCTCACTCGCCTAACACTAACCCTTAAAACACATCAATTTATCATCAAATTAACTTGGTCAAAATATATGTATGAATTTTGCTAAAACATCATAATACTCACAACAACATATTCACACATAGGCACCCATAGAAATTCAAACAGAGACCTAAGAGGTTTAGGGGTTGCTTCACTACCTCTACACCTCATACATGCTCACAAATTCGGCATTCTCAATTTCCCCTTACCTCGAGTACAATTCTACAGCACAAACGCATTCTCCACAACCTCAGTTGTTACTTCATACTTTCTCTAATACCCTTCTTTAGATTCTCTTTTATAGGTGTTCTTAATATTTAAAAAGTCGTATAAAGAAAATCTAACCATTATTTTTTATTTGTTTTTAATAAGTTTTACCCTCTACTTATAGACCCTCTTTAATTTTATTTAATTTAATAACAATATTTATTTATATTATAAACTTAATTAATAAAATTAATTAAACCTATAATATAATTTTTATTAAAATAACTTATTTATTTAATTTCTAAAAATTGAGATGTTACACCTTGACTATATATATGTAAATCGTACAAATATGTCAAGTATTTAACATATCACATATATGAAGCCCATTAAAGTTAATAGATAAAATTTAATGAAGAGAGTAATATAAATGAAAATAATAGATTAAAAATTAAAAAAAAAACTATATT